TTTTCTAAAAAACAGATCTAATTATATTGAATGGATTAATTAAGCTAAGCTTTTTCTTAAAATAAATGACTTTATGTTATATATTAATAGTATTAAAGTTTTATTTAATAAAAGTTTATATATAAATAAATTAAAAAAATTTATTTTAATTGAATTAGCTATAAAATATAATAAAAGGCTTTTAGAATATTAAAGAAATAAAAGAAAAATATTAAAAGCTATTAAATCTATAATTAGCTTCGAATTAATTAAAAGATTTGAAACTAAAACTATAGCTAAAAGTCTATAGAACTCCATTAATAAAATGTTTGAAGAGTTTTCTATTAAATTAATAAAAAAATACTTAAATAAACTAATAGAATCTAATTATACTAGTTCAGAAGGAATAAATAACTATATTAATTTGATCCAATTATTATATAATTATCTAAAATTAATGAAATTCGATATTCCAAATGCTTTTATAATATAGTTTCTTTTTAGAAGTTTATCTAGCTTTTTCAATAATTTTATTTCTCGAAAATATAAAAAATTAGCTAAAAATACAGTTAGTATTGATCTGGATAAACTCTTTTCCAAGTTAATATCCGAAAAGGCTAGAATACAATCTAATATTGATCTAAATACTAATAAAATAAGCTTTAATAAAGCTTTCTATTATAAATATTACTTTAAAAAGGAATATTTAGAATCAAAATACTTTATAAAATATTTTGAATTAAAGATTAATAAAGAAAATAATAAAAAGCAATTTAAATCAAATCCAAATAGAAATTCAAATAAAGATTTGAAGAAAGATTCGAATAAATCTATTTTTAGCAAGCAACTAATAACTATAAACCATTATATAAACTTAGCTAATCAATCCCTTGGATCTAAATATAAATTTATATTAGATTTGTATACTACAAAGCATTATTTATTTAATAAGAAATGATTTATAAATTATAAACTATTAAATAATTATTTCATTATTATAGCTAATAAGAAAAAGCTTTATATTAATAATATAGGAGATATTCCTATTTTAATTAATAATAAATTAAAGATATTATTATAGAGAATATATTATATTCCTAATATAATCTCCAATCTTATTAGTTTGAATAAAATAATTCAAAAAGAATAATCTAGCTATATTATTCCTTTAGAAAATAAGATCGATATTATTTATAAAGAAACTAATATACAAACTATAGCTCCCTAACTAATTAATACATATTACCTTAATTTTAAGGTAGATTTTAAATATTTTAAAAGTATTAATACCTTTGAAATAAAAAAGAAATTAATTCAAGAATTGGATTTATTATTAAATAAAATTAATCTTAATCTAATTTATAAGAAATTAGATTATATAAATAAGAATTATATTATTAAATTCTTAAATATCCAATTAGATATAGCTAAATCTGATTTAGATATATATAAATTATATAAATTCAGCAAATTCCATTAGAAAATAAGCAAGAAACCTTTTGAAATCCTTAAAATAAATTCTAAATTCGAAAAATTCAGTTTAGATATAACTGAACCCTTTAGAATTATAGGGATTAAAAATAAAAAATACTTTATAGTATTTACTAATTGGGCTATTAGAGCTATTTAAATATATCCTATTAAATTCAAATTCTAGGTTTATAATATTCTAATAGAATTCTATAATCTAATTAGAAATCAGTTTAATATTAATATTAAAATACTAAAATTAGATAATACTCTTAAATTCCTTTTAAATAAATAATCGGATTTTATTCGAAATTACGGAATTATATATAAATATATTAGCCTATACACTTACTTCCAGAATAGAATAACCGAGATACTAAATAAATATATAATTAAAAGACTAATTTATATAATTAAGAAAAAAGAGATTCTACTTTATTTATAACTATATTTAGTTAAAGCTATTACTTATATTAAGAATAGAATATATAATAATTCTATTAATAATTTATTATTTAAATTAATATATAATAAAAAATCTAATTTAAATTATATTAGAATTCTAGATTCTCTTATTTATATTATTAATAATAAAGAAATTTATAATGGAAAACTAGATTCTAAAGTTTGAAAAGATATACTAATAGGCTTTGATTTGTTTAATAATTACTTAATCTATATTCTAGCTAATAAAAGAATAATTAACTCAAAAGATATTAATATTCAAGAAAATCTTATATATTTTAATAAATATAAAAACCAGAATCTAAAGTTATTAAAAAAAGAAAACCTTAAATTTGAATCTATTTAGGATAATATAGAAAATGAAGATATCACTAGTACTAATAAGCATCAAGCTAATCCCGAAATGAATAAAAACAATGAAAATAACGAAACACTCGACTATATAGAAGTCAATCCCGGTAAGCCTATTTCTAATGAATTTATATCTAATGAGATAATAGAATCTAATATATAGCAATTTAAGTATATAAGAGATTTAATTTCTAATAATAAAAATCTTACTGAAAATAGAAAATATATAGTTTTTTATTATGGACTTGCTTTTTCCGAATACTTTAATTCAATTAATAAAGGGATGAATATTGAAATAGATTAATAAGATCTTTAATTAGCTTTTGATATCAGGTTTAAAAATAATAAAAAGATTATTATTAATAAATCAGATTGTATATTAATTGAATTTAAGATTTATAAAAAAACTATTAGCTCTTCAGAAAAGGAATATTAACTAAAAGCTATAAAATACGAAATAAATACCCTTAAATCCAATAAGATTTGGGATATTATTGATAATTCTAATAATAATAAAACCCTAAGAATTAAATGAATATATAAAATAAAGGATTTAAATAAATTCATTAAATTCAAAGCTAGATTTATTACTAAAGGATTCAAACAGCTATATGGATTAGATTATATTGATATATATATATTAGTAGTTAAATTGATAATATGGAAGCTCTTATTTGTATTAGCTCTCCAAAACGATTGGCTAATTTATAAAATCGATATAGTACTAGCATTTGCATAAGACAATATCGATATATTACTTTTATTAAATCCACTAAAAGGATTTAGCAAACTAAAGAATAAAGCTTTAAAGCTAAATAAAACTTTATATAGCCTAAAATAGTTAATCAGGATATAATATTATATTCTAAAAGATATATTAAATAAATTAAGCTTTATAAATCTAATTTCCGAAAAATATATTTTTATTAATAAAAATAAGAATATAATTCTAAATATATATATTAATAATATTATTATAATAACCCTAAATTAAGAAATTATTAATGAATTTATTAATAATCTAAAGAAACATTTCGATTTAAAAAATCTAAATCCTATAAAGAACTATTTAAATATTCAAATTAAAAGAATTAGTAATATATTAAAGTTATATCAATTAGAATACACTAAAAAGATACTTGCTAGATTTAATATATTAGATTTCAATCCTATTTCCATTCTAATAGACCCAAAAATAAAACTAATTTATAATAAAGAAAAAACTAATAATAATAATATTAAATTATATTAAGAAATTATAGGCTCCTTATTATATTTAGTTTTCGGAATTAAATTAGATATAATATTTTCAATATCTAAATTAATTAGTTTTTTGTTTAATCTTAATACAGAACATATTTAAATCATTAAAAGAATACTGAAATACTTGAAAGAAACTATAAATAAGGATATAAATTATATTAAAATTAAAAACCCTTATATTTAAGGATTCTGCAACACCGATTATGAAAAAAAGATCAATACATATAAATTTACTAGCAAATATATATTTATACTAGGAAATGGGCTTATTAATTGAAAATCTAAACTACAGCCAATAGTAACTCTTTTTACAGCCAAATCTGAATTTATTATTATAAATTTAGTTACTAAAAAAACTGTTTATATTAAAAAGCTATTATTAGAGCTTAATTTATATAAATAGAATAAATTTCTTTTGTACATAGATAATCAGGTTGTGCTAGTGCTTACTAAAAACCCTATATTTTATGAAAGAAGTAAATATATAGTAATCAGATTCTATTATATTAGGGATATTATTAAATTAGGGGATTTAGATCTAATTTATATATCTATTAATAAATAGAAAGCTAATGAGCTTATTAAACTATTAGCTCAAATTAAATTGATCGAATTTATAAATCAGATTAATCTGAATTAGATTGATTTAATGTATTTATTAAGGAGGTATATAAGGATTTATAATAAGTTTATTAAATTACTTATTAATATCTTATTAAATAAGGGATATATTGATGACTAATATATATATGATATAATCTTATATTATAAAATCATATTATTATATAATTGTATAATAGTATCTCTTATCAAATTGATTTATAATAGAATAGAATAAAATGGAACTAGATGGAAGTATACAAGAAATCTCGCTAAATTGATTAATTATACTTTCTTTTCATTATCTAAAGTGATTTTATAAGATATGATTTAAATCGATCTTATTTATAAGCATAGAATATACTAGAATTTCATTATAAACTATATAAACCTAGAATATTCTTTAAAGGAATTCTAGGAAAAAGAAAGCAATTTCATCTCAACTCAGCCTAGCTCTACCAAATTGACTTTAATTCAACTCTTATTCTATATATTCGATTTATCCCTATAGCTTAAACTGACTAGATCTTCCACTATCCTTATAATAATATTATTCCTTCTTATTATAAGAGCTAACCTCCAAGACAATCCATTACACCCCAGTCTTCCACAGCATCTCACAGCCTCAAGGATTCCATGGATGCACCCACAAAAATGCTGGCAATGAGTTGTTACTCCTCCCTGCGCTGCCTGTACTGTCTGGTGTTGACTCATTTTGAGACCTACCTGAGAATGACACTCCCTGCCTTTACCGGCGAACTTCTGTCGGCGAACTTCTGTCGCACAATGCAGCTGGGGTAAAGACGCTGCAGCTCGGTGAGCTGCCTCTTACGGACGAGGTGTGCAGCAGGATTGGCACAGCTGTCAAGCTGATGCTGGATGCTTTCCGCTCCACGGAGGATATGCTCGGCCTTTATGATTATGCGAGCAATACGCGAAGATGCCGGAAAGAGGATCCATGCGGGTGCCCGTTCTCAGCAGGGCCAACGGAGAGGGGTCAAGATATAACGCCGTTGGCATATGAGGAGCTCTCAGAGGTATTTAAGGACCACGCCATAATGGGGTATAAAGGTGCGCATATGGATAATTTGGCAAGCAAAGTCGAGTCTGTTAAGACAATGTTAAAGGATAGAATAGACCTCCACATCTGAGTAAAGGTGGAGGACATGTTCTGGTCGAGACCAGATTGTCCCATATCCTATCGTCCCCCTTATACCAATTTTAAAGTGATTAAAGATTGCTAAAAGGGGATTTCTCTCTCACTATGTTCGAGTGTGGAGCTATAAATACCTGTTGACCTCCTAGGCTGAATTATAGCTGGATTATGTTTCTATATAAAACAATGCTATTGTTTGAAACTGAGTCACTATCTAAAACAACCATACTCCCTTGCAATATTAGAATATCCTATATGAAATCTCACTTCCACTGGCCTATATATATACTTAGAATTATACTCCTTTAGCTAGCAATCAATCAACTCAATTCGTTCGATTCTCCATATGACTTTCGTTTCCTAATAACTAACAATACCTCCTTATTAAAAATTTGCAATTCTCGATATAACGAGTTGGGATACTATTTCCCGTCTCTATATAATCCTTATATAATTCGGATATACCTTTTTGTTCAAAAAGATAATACGTTTTGCAATACTAATAAGCCTCTTTGAGGTTAGCAGCTTCGTTACGGACTCCTTCGTCGTCCTTACTCGCACGTCACTCCGTTCCGTAATACCGCCTTCGTCTCTAATGAAAAAATATTGGCCATCTCTCCGCGAGGCTCGTAACTATTCCCGATCCTGTTTCGGCCTACGGTTGGGTTGGAATTCACTTCACCTCGCTCCGTTACTGAGGCCATCTACAGTTAAATTTTGGCAGCACCCGACTGGATGCAACCATCTATACCCTCAAGGTTTCGGCTAGGCTTGACAAGGCAGGTTGATCAGTACGGTCAACAATAAGAGTACGATAAACAGGGTATTATATCGTATTCAGGACTAGAACACGTAATGCGATATGCTATCATCACGGAGCACGTGTTTGGCAGCGAGTCAGCGTCATGGTACGGTAGCATCACATTGGAGAGAAGGTTTGCCGAAAGGTAGAGTGAATATTAAGTAGAAATTACTAGGGTTCTATTGTAACTCAATCCGATGATGTTGTTTATCTCTAAAAAGGTCACTGAAACAAAGAGAGCTCTCAGGCAACGAGTGGCGTTGAATATTGGGGACACCTGTTAAACCGGTATCCATGACCATTTCATGCATGTTGGTGTCTCATAAATGACGAAATAGACAACGCTCAAGATCAGCTCACCATGTCCTCGGTTCCGCGACTGGAATGTGCATGTTGGATCAAAACAGCCACGGCAGGGCTACTCGTCTAACCTTAGTAGTCTTAATAGGTCGAGAGCTTGCTGAATTCACCACGGGCTCTGATCAGATAGCCCCATTTGGAAAAGAGGAATGGAGCTGGCAGCAGAAGCACGCTAATACAGGCAAAGATAGTGCTGCCCCAATCGATGCCGATGTTTTCATACATGGGCCAGAAAAAGAGAGGAAAAGCACCTGCAGCCATGTATCGGACAAAAGTGTTAGCCGCAATAGCGCTAGCACTGTAGCTCGTAAAAGTATCGACGATATACTGGAGGGACGATTGGAAGATGGTGGTGAAGCCAACCCCTGTAGGAAGACACCGATGATGGATGGCCAAGGGCTCGAGACGTGCTCAACCGAGGTCCCTGAAAGATGATAATAACGGGTCAGTCGTCTATGCAAATCATCTCCACAATTTTATCATGGTCATGCAGGTTCGGGTCGGTTCCGCTAGTGAATATTGCGACTTACAGCCAAAAAGGAAAAGACCTGAAGAGAAGGTGAATCCGCCCACCATCACTGGTGGAAGTCTCGCTTCAGGAACAGGCTTGAAGTTGTTGGACGAGCTTCTTTCCGTAATAGATATTGTTGAAGATGTTGGCGGCGGCGGCAAAGAGACAGCCAATTAAGAGGGACTGAAAGGGAAGCTGGCTCACGACGGGGCCCCATCCTCGGAACCGGCCGTATTCGAGAGCGAAGCTGTCTAAGCTCGCGTAAAGGATTGCTAGTAAAAAGTCCCATGAACGAGCAACGTTTGGGAAGGTAATACAGCAGCTAACGTTGAAAATAGCTGGAGACATCTGTAGCGCTTACCATAGACGAAAGATGTATATATCGTAAGCAGCAGGCAGATTGGATCCAGAAGCATCTGAACTGGTCGAACAAGGTAGGTACTCAGTAAACTCTTGAAAGTTGGGCTAGTCTCCTCCCACTGTAATTTTTTGTTTCAGCCAAGATATCAGCCACAGAAGGGCACCATAAGCGGGAAGATTATGTGCCGGACCGGATCTCACATACCTTAGCGTGGATACTGTAATTCCCCGTAGACCGACGGAGGCGGCTGGCCTTCCATGTGAGAAGCACGTCAGCGTGGCTCTCGTCTAGCCAGAAGGCGTCTAGGACGAAATGGACCATGATAACGATGCCCGTCAGGTACTCGGTCCAGCGCCAGCCGCAGCCGCTCGCGATAAAGGCGCCGTCGATGATAGGGCCCAGGGTCGGCGCCGCAGCGATGGTGATGCTGTAGCACACCATGGGAGTGCCCCGCTGGCGTGGGGTCCAGATGTCAACGATGGAGCCGCCCGTGATGGAGATGGGTGAGCTGCCGAAGACGCCAGCGAAGAACCTTGTTATTAGGATTGTCTGGATATCCTTGGCGGTCGCAGTGCCGAAGGCGAAAGCTGCGCTAATGAAATAGGGCTAGGGAACTACAGGTTAGCGAGGTCCATAACGGTAGGTACTGTATGCAGGTAACGGTAACAGCAATAATGGAGTCTTACAGCGAGAGCAGGCCGTTTCCGACCGTAAACCTCACACAGAGCGCCCAGAGCATGGGTCCAAGGGCGAAGCCGAAAATGAGCAGACTGGTGCCCGCGTTGGCTACCTCGTATGACACATGGAATTCCTGGGTAATCTCTGCTGTGCCGGCCGAGTAGATGGCGGAGGCGAAGGTGATACACAACGTAGTCAGGGCCCACAGGGCTGTCGTGTAGACCTTTTTCCCCATGGGCCCCATGGGCCAATTCTGGGGGTTGAGCGTTTCGGAGTCTCCCTCGAAGTCGACTATATCGCCCAATTGGGCTTCTTGTTTAACATCCATGTGGGTTCGTTCATCGCTGTCAGATCATTCAGTGGAGCCGCTGTCTCTCCGTGGTTTGGCGGGGTATGGATGCAAGTCTAGATCAGATCAGACACGTACTGTAAGGCGTCAAGATAAGGCAAAGTTCTTGTTCAGTGATTGTTTCTGTAGGAGAGAATCCTTTTGCGGATTTCTTGACAGGCCTTTATCATGTTTTATCTCAGCGCTAGTATCATATGTTTTTCTTGACGCTCGTAATGGCCAATTTCGCGAGGGGTTTCGCTTTCTCGCTCACTCGCGCATCTCGCATAATTTATGCGACTGCCGGACCGATACATAGCAGCACTGACCATCATCTGCGGGGCATCATCTCGCACAATTGTCTGCTGCCTCACTCGCCCGATCTTGAGTTCTCTGCGACCTTCTATGCGGCATCGCTCAGTTACGTCCCTTCAATCTGTAATTCAGATTGCCAAGACACGAAATTCCCAGGTCCTCTAGGGTAATCATTTCTTGACAGCTCTTGTCAGTCACAGCAAGATGGACTCTACTTTGGGAAATCTCTCCATGCCAGGCTTGGCACAATCGCACGTCCAAGTGCGGACCTGCATCCACTGTCGCCAACGTAGAGTCAAATGCGACCGTCAGTTCCCCCAATGCTCTAATTGTATAAGGTCCGAAGTCAATTGCATCTATCCTCCCGGTCGAGGCAGGGCACCCAAGAGGCCAAAACGTAGCCTTGCGCCTGAATTATCAGAACGTTTATCCCGCCTTGAGAAAATCATGGGACAGTTCGGCGCAGCTGGTAAGTCAAATGTATCCATTCACTCACTCAATGCAGATTGTCTCTAAATATTACATAGCCAGAGAGAATAACGATAATGCCCCACCAACTGCGCAAGACAGTGAAGGTCATTAATTTGAGCAGGACTTTAGTCGTCTCAAAGTTAATGAGTCAAAGAGTTATTATGTGAACAACGCATTATGGGTCACTCTCTCAAATGAGGCAAGTCCCTCCAGTATTGCTTGCTCTCCTTTCTCATGGTTGACATCATCTGTAGGTTGAGGACCTGCGTGATCTTCTTTTTGAGCCTGCTAGTGAAGATGCTGGCTACGAGCCTTCCATCTCTTCATCCGCCACCACCACCGCCACTTCACCATCATCTCCTCAGCTGGGACTGAATGCTGTCATTTTTGGCTATCGCGCCATTGATTCACCTCTGTACCATTATCATCCCTCACTACAACAAGCTGTAATGCTCTTTGCCGCATTCCGTGAGAATGTCGCGCCGCTGGTCCGCATATTTCACATGCCGACCTTGACAAGAATCTACTGGGATGCCATCGCTTCTCTGAGCACAGTCGACAAGCATACCGAGACCCTGTTATTCACTATTCATTATTCAGCTGTCATCATTCTTAACCTGGGGCAATGTCTGAATATTCTGGACGAGACTCGTGAAGCTGCCCTGGAAAGATATCGGTTTGCGGTGGAACAGGCTCTCGCTCAAGGCAACCTCCTCAGTACTCAGAGTATGACCATGCTGCAAGCTGCAGTGCTTTTCTTGTCTGCTCTACCAAATGAAGACGACTCGCGTGCTGCATGGGCACTCACATCTCTGGTCTTCCATATCGCAAGGACCATGGGTCTCCATCGCGATGGCACCATATTCGGGCTAAAGCCTTTTGAGACCGAGCTGCGCCGCCGTTTATGGTGGCAGATTTGCATCATCGATAGCCGCTCGTCAGAATATCACTGTAATGAGCCTATTGCCCAAGGTTTTGTGACAGATACCAAGCCCCCGTTGCACATCAATGATATTGACTTGTCACCTGAGATGGTAGAGCCTCCATCTGAAAGATGGGACCATGCGACTGACATGACGCTCACGTTGGTCAGGTGTGAGGCTATACAAACAGGTCTGAAGATGGGTCGCATGAGACACAAGCAGAACAAAGCATCAGACGATGGAGGTACTCCAAGGGTAGATGATGCCTCTGACTCTCCCAAGTCTCTGATCCAGGAATTGGAAACTCGGCTACGGGATAAATATCTACCTATCTGTGATACTTCCGTACCATTTCAACTTCTTTCTTCAGCAGTGGCACAGATCATCCTTGGACGATTCTGGCTTATTACCCAGTATTCAGTAGTGTCACGAGAAAAGGATGTCGATGGCAGAAACAAGAGCAACCAATTTCCTCCCACTCCCAACACCGCAGGCCAGCTGGAGAACAAAGTGCGCGATGAGCTTTTCCAAACTTCAATCAAGATACTAGAAGTGTCAGGCATGCTTCTCACGAGCAAAGAGATCGTACAATTCACATGGTACTCAAAAACTCATATCCAATGGGGTGCCATGGCATTTGTTCTCTCTGAGCTATGCGCTCGACTTCAATCAGCACAATGTGATCAGGCATGGGACTGCGTAACGGCAGTATACGAGGGATGGAAGGTCGATGAGAGCAGACAAGATGAAACTCGCCTTGCCTTGTGGCGTCCTATAAAAAGGCTCATGGCTAAAGCTCGCTATGTTAAAGAAATGCAGCAGACTACTCCTGGGCGGTCGTCAAACGCTGGTCGTAGAGTTCAGAGAAGAGATCCGGTTTTGTACTCTCCTTCACCGGGACTTTTCTCGCAGTATCCAACACCAGCATACTCTAACAATTGGTATGGACAGCTGCAGCAGACACCGCCTTCTACATCAGCGTCAGAAGTATCATTGCCTGGCATGGCAGCAGTGCCACTTGACAGCAGTCGTCAGTCAGATGCCCTACAGAGAGTACTTGGCACGGAAACTCTAGGCCCTTTCATGGATATGATTCCGGAATGGCCCTGGGTTGATGTTGAACATGGAGCTTCATCTCTGGCGGGGCTTGATCTTGGGCCACCAAGATTTAATTGATTAAATCATCTAGCAATTACATCTTACAGCTTCGATTTTATTACACCACCAACAAGAAATCCTCTCATAGATAGTCTACTGAAGATAGAAGTACATAAGTGATATGTGTCTATTGACTTAAATGACAAGTGCTAATCTATATAAATTGATATGTCTTGGCGATCCCAGTCCTGATATAAACTGATGCTCAACATCTCAGTTGAAGTACCTTGGTATCTCTCTCTTAACAAAGTCATCAAATGATGTAGCCTTGCGGCCTGTCAAGAGCTCAACGTTACCCCGGGACTTCTCATAGTCCTCAGGAGCATATAGTGCCCTCGTCTCCACCATGGACTTGGCTAGAGACTTGGCGACCACGTCAGGAACATGAAGCTTGGCCAGATTCTCAAGGTACTGCTCAACCGTGATATGATTCACCTCGACTTCAGGCTTACCAGCAGCAACAAGCTCTCGGTTTATGATCTCCCACTGCACAGTCTGGGAGAGCAAAGCTGGTCCACTGAGGTACACAACATCCTTCTTGGGGTCTCCTTGATAGCCACTCGCGTACAGCCGCGGGCTGACTAACACGGCAGCAGCCGCACGCCCAATATCCTTCGGGTCAATGGGATCGTGCAGCACTTCTGGAGCTAGCAGATGGACTTGTTTAGGCTCTGAAGATCGATCAAGGTAAATTCGCAGCGGGTTGCTCGCAAAGAAGCCGGCCCGTACCGCTGCATGTGGCACCTCGAGTTCTTCCAGCGCAATCTCAACCTGCGCATGCTGCCATGGGATGAAGTGGTCTGGCTTGATGGATCGAATGTCACCCTTTGTGGTGCCCGCAGTCCTGACCTGACTGGTCGACAGGAACACGACATACTGGATGCCAGCGTCGCGCAGGGCGGTAATGGCACCACGCAACGTGTCCTTGAAGCGCACGGCGTAGATGAAGGCAGCCTGGGCGCCTGTCTCGTGCACGGCCTGCTTCACAGAGTCCAGGTCGGTTAGGTCGGCACTGATGCGCTGCAGGTCTGCGGCGCGCTCTTGATCGGGCGAGATCCACTCGTTGTGCTTGGATGTGTCGCGTAGGGCGATGAAGACGTGGGCGCCGAGAGCGTGGGCCTCGAGTGCGACGGCGGAGCCAACTTCGCCAGTGGCACCAAAGACAAGGACTTTGGAGAAATGTGGAGATGGCATGGTGCAAAGTGAGATATATAAGCAGGGATGGAGGGTGTCAGTGAAGGTGGTATACAGTACAGTAGAATGGTAGGGCAGCTGAAGCTTGTTTCGGTGAACCAGAGTGTGTTGACGTATCAGCATTTATGTACTCACATTTAAGGTCCGAAGATGTCCGCCTGTAATCGTTTGGAATTCCGAATTTCAGCGTCGTCCTCAGCGATCATTCCTGTCCGCTCAAGTCTCGGATAACCAGCCCGAAGACGCGGGTGTGGAGCCTCGCCATCTCGCATAATCGCATAACTACGACTCGCGATTGGTTGCCTCTGATCAACCCAACGCAGCCCCTTGCCATTGTGACAAGCGCGCTCATGTCTAACTTTTGGACCTCGTTTCTTTGCTTTTCACATCACCGAAGCAAAATATACATTTTTTTCAGGCAGGTATTGAATGAATTACATTTTGATTAGCTTAGAAGCAGAGCTCCTAGGCTTTTCCGTTTTCGACAAACAGATTTGTTGTTCTCTTTGCTATCACTAAACTCTGTTAACACACAAGTAATACAGACACCTTTCTGATCATAATACTCTTCTTTGTTACATCTACTATCTAGAGCAACAGCACGAGCAGCATCACCCAACCCTATAAAATGCTTTAACAATGCCGGAGCTAGCTCGATATTATCATGGGCCCCATTATCATTAGCCCATCGAATCAGCTTGGCTATGTCTGAAATGAGCCAGGAATTTGTCTCCTTCCATAATCCGAGATTGTTGTTAGGGTCGGAATCGAGTGGATCGTAGAAAAACAAGGCAGAGCACCAGAATAAAGTTACATTAAATAACCTAATGTCTGATATACGAACGCAATTACCCAGAACTGACAACTTGGTAATTAAATGCTTGTGTTCATGAACATTTGAGTTTATTCGTATTGTTGTTTGTATCCATCGCAACAGCCTCGAGTTAAGAGCCTGTGATATCTTGGAATCATAATCGGGTTGCTGATTGAATACCCGACAGTCCAGTTTAGCAAGCTGTTCCTTGGCGAGTTGTTCCTCGTCCGAGTCCACGTCGAAGTTCATTTCGATACATCTCGGATCGTTTTCGATGTCATCCAGATTCACTGGAATATCCAGCAGTTCTTCACGGTCATGAGAGACATTGCCATGCACCAATGCCGAGTTAGGACGAGGTAGTGTTTCTGCAGTTGCTGCCCCAACAATATTGACCGACGATGTTTCCTGTTCGGAGATTGGTGGTGACCGGAGAGCCTGAACTTGCGGGAATAGCTGAGCGTTTTTGGTATATGGCGGTAGCAGTGATTCTGGGCCAAGTTTACTCCATTCCACTAATTCAGGTGCTTGACGATTATATATCTCCTTCATGTCGGTTTTGTGCGTGTCGTTAGGGGTGTTATTCAAGCGATTGCGAACTTCTTTCAGGCCCACCAGCGCATAATCATTTGGCTTGATATATACCGCAAAGGATTTTGTGTCAGATAGAGATTCAAGGCCACAAATCAATTCTGTTGAGGTGTAGTTCCGAGGCTTGATAGCTGTAGTATTCTTCCCCTCAAAAAAAATGAATCCCTTTGTGATGAGATCGAACTGTAAACAGATAACATGTACTGAGTCACTGAGACCAGCATCATGAATAGCAGATGCATCGAGACGAGATAAATTGCCGATATCCGATATCAAACGAGGCTTAGACTCTGCAAAGCTGGCGTCCGGGGGAACAACTAATAACAACTCTATTGTCTCCTTATTGCCTCCAAGTATGATTGATATCTTGAGAGAAAAGTGGATATGAATAAGTCCTTCCTCATCGTAATATATCGCTAGGAAGAATTCGAGATTCTGCCCATTGCGCCTCAGACGAGAACCCAGCGTGCAGGGACCCGATTCATCTTCCCATTTGACAAACACTCTTTCACGAAGAAGACAATGTAGTTTAAGTTTTTCGATCAGAATGTCGGTTGGATTCGGCATAATTTATAACTATAACCATAATTAGCAATAAACAAACCGAAGAAAGATTAGATTGAAAATGTTAGCCCACACTTTACGTGTGATTCCCACCCACCCAGGCTATAGAGCAGCCTTGACTCTTGGCCAGAATGAGGTAAAGTAGTTGTCCACAAAACCTAATGCATATGTTGTTTTGGAGTTGTTCTAGTGGGTGTAGATGTTGCTGCTGAAGACTAACACATGCGGGGTTGTTCTACGCAGCAATTGCAAGAACTACCACGAGCAGGGTTGCTTCAAGCAAGAGATACAACATAGAACAACTCCTGTAGACAACACAATATAGGAGCGATTTGGATTTGTTGTAGGGGGTGTAGATGTTGCTACAGAAGACTAACACGTGCGGGGTTGTTCTAAGCAGCAGATGCTGCACAAGGACTACCACGAGCAGGGTTGCTTCAAGCAGCAGATCCAGCAAAGGACAACTCTTGTATACGACAATAATATGGGATGGTGCACGATAGAGATGGAGGGATCGAGGGATCGAGGAATTTGAGAGAAAGGCAGTGTTATACGATGGTGATGGAAATTGATGATGGGAGTGAAGTAGGAATAAAGATAACGATGAAAGTAGAGATAGAGGATAGAATACAGAAATGATGGCGAAGCAAACAAGGATGAAAAGCAAGTTAACATAACTTTAGTAAGCATACTAACAAGCGAGACTAACTAAACTACCTAGGTACAGCAACTAAGAAATTACCTAAGCAGTATAGCCAATGATCGGGCACATGTTTTTCTATCACAATACAATGCCAGCACACTGCTTGGGAATTTGGAATACATCTGGTTGGTGATCTTTGAATGTACGGAGTAAACAGATTCAAATTCAAAAATGTCATGAAGTGACCAATACTAGGTCAATCACGTGTTGATTCCACAATCATAAGCTGATGGTTACCCCAACAGATTTACATGTGAACAAACCCGAAATCGCTGTGTTAGCGCAACAGAATGTGTGTATATAGTGTTGGACAGACTTCGTCAGGTTGTGTACACATATAGTATAGGGTTTCAATTGGTATATTTCATTCTGTCTACACCCTTCGTGCGAAGGGGGCTGCTAATCCTGCTAATCCTTATCCCACTGTACGCACGAATCTGCGTGCGAGGCGTATCATTGTGAAGTGGTATACAACGTGACTTGATGTCATGTGCTCCAATATTTACATCCTCTTAGTATATGCCTTACATATTTATTATTCATTTGCTAAAAAGATTATACCTAATTATCACTTCATGCTTATGAATCATTTAATAGATTTGAGGGTCAATTTTCTTACATTGATGCATAGGTATTCTCATGACTAGTAATGCATGGGCCCCCGCCTTGAAGAAGGAGCGAAAAAAAATAAACCTGCCGCCGGTACTCCTTCAAATCCGACTTCTTACCACATCAAACAGGAACTGATACCCTGGCTCAACCTTTGTCTCCCATTCCCTAGTTCCTGGTTTCAACTGTAAATCATATATATGATCTACTCCCTCTAATGGTAAAAAGCCACATGTAATAATTCTCTTCTTTAGCTCAACTACAAACTTCTCAGAATCCGCGAAAGGCGCAATTTGATCTCGGGTGTCATGGATAATGAACGTTGGTACATCGTAGTTTCCTTTACGAAGCTGAGCAAGAGGACTGATGGCGATAATTTGAGCCTGTGTGGGTTGGTCGAGCGATTTGGCTCCTGGGCGAGGCAGCCCATTCAAAAGAAGTGAGAGTCCAGTGCCCTCTTTGAACATCGAAAGAAGAAGCTCAGAACGTGGGTCGCCTGGACGAACCCATCCTAGATTGGTGTCGTCGCCGATCGCAGAATCATAATTTGTGATCTCAAGTTCAAGTTAGCGTATGATACAAGCAAACAAGCTCTTCAATACTGGTGTGTCGTCACTGTTGACACAAGGAATGATCATAGTTTTGAGAAGATGGGTAGCCATACGGGTTTCTGTGGAAGAGCAGAAATTATACTTTCCATACTCATTTTTCGGGCTGGTAGTTTCGAAGGACGATTCATACCAAGCTCTGTTGGGCTCAAATATATCAGTATAAATCCAAAAGAACATCGAGCAGCTTGGGCGACTGACCTTTGGATTCAAAATCTACCGGCGAATAAAAACATAGTACTGCAGTTGGTGGTACCGCCTTGGCTAGTTTTGCGGTCCAAGTAATCGACATAGCCAAATGGCCTCCTGTTGACCATCCGATCACCACCACGTTGCCCTTATCGACCAGTAACCCATGCCCAGCAGCGATCTGAGGAAGCACATTTTTGGACCATTGATAAGCATCATAGACATCTGCCATGGGTCCGTCGACTAAATTAATCTCGGGACAGAGCCGGTAATCAATACTCACTGGGAGGTATCCATTGGCCAAAAGATATTGCGTTTGCATTGGACGAACCGCTTTTCGAGAGAGTGTCATATGACCCCCGCCATGGATCATGAGAGCTAGACGATGTATCAGTCATATTCCATAGATTAGTGGCAAAATGCTTATGCGTACCAATGGGCATGGGCGATGATGGGATCGTTCGAGGGAAAAAAACATCTGCCTCAATTGAAATATCACTCACCTCTTTATACACAATAGTCTCTTGGCGATATGATACACCCCGACTACTGTCTGTATTTGAAGAGGCGTTTATACTTGCTGGTATTTCCCACTTGTTGCACGATGCTACAAGTAATTGTTGACTATTAGCTTCTGGCATCGAGCCTTTAGAGTAGCTGGTCACGCCAAAGCCTGCTGCCTTGAATGTCGACATCCAAGCCTCAGCTGGCTGAAGAGGGTAGGCCGTATTCCCTTCAGCTAGCCACCAGCCATCAAGCAGACCGAAGCAGATATCATACCAGTCTATAATTCGAGTAACTTCGGACAGAACAATAAAACCATTTGGCACCAAAACCTCTTTGAGTCTGCGACATGACATAGTGCGGTTTGTTGTTGCATGTACACAATTGGCGCTGATGACAATGTCAAATCGATTGCGTAATTCACTGGAGACTTCTTTTTCCAAGTTAAAGGTGGCAAATTTGATCCATGGATATTGCAGGAACTTATTCTTAGCCTTAGCAACTAGGGTGGATGATATATCTGTAAAGGTATATTCAACAGAAATTCCGGAAGAATCTAATGCTTTTGCAAGCCTTTTTGTCGTTCCACCGGTACCTGCACCCACTTCCAGAATTCTCAACGGTCGAGCGGCTTGGAAACCTCGAGTTAAGGTTGTTATGAATATTACCAGCTGCTCAGTGAGTGTTGACATCATTGGAGACTGAGCATAGAAATTTTCCATTATTTTCAGAGATGCAGGGCTTCCGAACATGATGGACACGGGATCCATTGTGCCACTCAAGCAGTCGGCGAGTTTTGGACCGGTAAGACTGATCAGATTAGTTTCATGCTCATAAGCCGGAAATTTGCTGCGGAATATTTCGACCAACTGAGACGATGGCCTTGAATCAATAACACGGTTTCCGCGCTTGAAGCTACCAGTCTGATCTTCGAAAACAACATCGTGTTTTTGGAGGATTTTCCAAAGCCTCTGCACGAGTTTATCGTATCTTTGTGCCAAGTGTGGTAGTTGCGCAATGCTGCTTTCTGGGGTGCTGTTTGCAAGATCGACTCCTAAAGCACCAAAAGCTTCCACTATGTACGCCAGTAATAGGTCATCCTGAAAAGGCGCTACGTCTGACCAATAGTTACTGAATCCCTGCATTTTTGCTGAATCATCGAAATGGGCATCAGCTAGTGTTAATGCTCTGAAAGGGTTTGGCAAGTCGAGTTTCACATCGTGCTCTAATATGGCAGGCACGTTCCCTTTGTCAGTTTGAAAAACGTTTTTAGTGTAACTTGGTTTCTTGCCACTGGGCCTATCAATGTTCAAACGTGTCGTGAGATCTTTCACCGCACAATCCAGCAAAATTTCCTCGAAACTCACTGAAAATGATTCTTCTAGCTCCTGTTTCAGATCTACTAGTGACAGTGAATCGATTCCAAGATCAGGCAATAAATCATTCTCTTTGATGTCCTCAAGTTTAGCCCCTGAGATATCAGCTAGGATCTGCAGAAGCTTCTGAAACTTTTGTGCAACAGCACGATCATCTGAATCATGAGTAAAACTTTCAACCAGCTCAGGAATCGGGTGTTTCATAAAATCTGTTTGGCTTGGTAGTATTTTGGCTAAAGCTGGACCACCAAGACGCTCATTAAGCTCGTTTAGATTGCTGGTGAGCAATTCATCGGAAGATATGACCAACTCAAACTTGGCCAAAAGCTCCCCAACAAGCTCGACCGATGCTAGAGAGTCTAGTCCCAAATCTGCAAACATTGTATCCGTAGGTATATCTGATGTATTGGCTCCGGTATACTCGGCTATTAAGTCTCTTAAGCTCGAAATATTGCTATCGGTCGCAGGAGTAACAATCGTGAGCGTATTTAGTCCATCTCCGGTTGTACTCGATGCGTTGGAGACTTTGGTTGAAGCCAGACGTGGAACATTTACAGCGGCTTTCGAATTCGATGAATCGAGAGCTTTCTCGAGCTTTGAAATCGGCAACTTTGCAAATCGACAGCCACAAAGCATCGCCACTAGTTCCCCACCTGGCGAAGATACAAACACATCTCCCATTGGTTGCCCATCCTGCGTAAAGCAGAATTTTGCGTAGACGCGCCAATCCTTTCTATTTGTCATGTTGCAAGCCGGTGAAATAACAGTGTGCTCTACGCCAACCATCACCATAACCTCTTCCTTTGATACGGCATTGCTACTGTTCATCAGTAGTCCGACAACCTGGATAAATGCATCAATGGTGACGGTGTCACAAATAAGCCATGATGTGCTCTCTTCTCGATTTGGCTGGGCCTCTGGGACACTGATTGTGGCAATTGCTTCCCACTCATCCATCTTCACAGTCTTGATGCCTCTAAAAAAAATGGTCATAGTCAACAACCAGCTGGAATAGACCATAAGCGCGTTTTGACATTAGGCTTTCGGCGTTTGCATTATTCTCCAATTTCTCGATAGGCCCAGCTATAAGCCGGTGAAAAGTATCAGACGGAGAGTCAGGCAACAGGGCAATAATACCGCTAGCATGAAGCACTTGCTTCGGCTTTGTACTTGTTGGGATTGAAGTAGTGATAGTAAATTTCCACGATCGCTCAGCACTGACTGCCTTGACAAGCTGTATCACAACTTCACCCTTCGGATAAAGACCAAGAGAAGCGTGAAAATCAAGCTTGTCGAAAATAAGGCTTTCGCCTTTGATTTCTCCGATCAGAAGCTGGATAGCCATCACGATGCACTCCATGTACATGGATGCTGGGCATAGGGGCCTTCCTCGAACTGCATGGCCGCCGACAATCTTTGAGAATCGTTGACTTTTGGTATTTACCAAAAACACCTCAACTCCCGGCTGTTCAGGAATTTCTGCACTTCTCGTGATTAATTGAGGTGAAAGTTGTAATGGCGGGTCTTGTGCATTGTTTGGATTCGTTTGCTGCATTTCGATGGTTCTATCAATATTTTCTCGCCAGTACGGAGCTTTTTCAAATTGATATGGCGGCAGCCATATCTGTTTAAAATCCGATGCCGAAGTTGGCAGAAAGCTCCAATGGATCAAGGAAATACCACTTTTCCAAAGCGCTAAAATCGAAGCAGAGATTGCCTCGGCGGCATTTTGATCATTCGGTGTTCTTATGGCATGGTAGGTCATCATTTCTGGAGTTCCCGATGCCCTCTTTGCCATCGCTATAATTGGTGTATTGATTCCTGCCTCCAGCCAGATGGATGATCCTAAAGAATTTTCGAGTCTTCGTACGGCGTCTGAAAAATAAACGGGACGCCTCGCGTGGTCCGTAACACTGTAGCTTTCGATGGATGAGAGAGGTTCAGCAGTGCATAGTTCCAAAGGAATTTTTGGTTCGTTCCAATGAAGAGACTTGGCAATATCAGCCAGCTCACCCAGTATTGGGTCTACAAGCGCCGAATGGAATCCATGGCTCGTGCCGACTCGCTGTGATTTGATATTTTGAAACATGGGATCTGTTCTTATGAGTTCTTCAGTGGCTTCAATCATGGCCAACGTGCCTGCCACAACTAACGAGGTTGGCGAATTGTAACAAGCAATTTCGATCTTCCCATTACAACTAGCTTGCAGGCGCATAGAGATAAGTTCGAAATCATTGGCATCGCAGTGTAAGACTGACATAGCACCCTTTTCAGGCCCCCATTTAGTATGAATTAGGTGGCCGCGAGAAGCAATCAGAGTGATACTGTCAGACAATGATAGGACTTCTGACACTGCCAATGCCGTAAGCTCTCCGAGACTGTGACCGATGATAGCGCTAATCTTCAAGCCGGCGTCAATCCAACATTTACCACACGCGTATTGCATGGCGAAGATACTACACTGTAAAGTAATAACATCATCAATAGGCTGTGTTTGAAAGATGGCTGGAATGATAGAGCGAAACCCCAAACTCTGTACTTGCTTATCACATGCATCAATATAGAATCGAAATGCAGGGTATGTCTTATAAATGGTTTCGCTCAAGGCGACTTTGTTGTCGCTCTGTCCACTAAAGCATAGCACTATAGGCTTGGATGACTTTTGCAACTGCCCAAAGCTCAGTGGGTTGATAGAATCCAGCTGGTCGGTCAAATCCTTGGTACTTTTTGAGGTGATGCTAACATACCACTTTTGACGTTGTCTTTTCTCGTTCAAAGTATACGAAATATCACGAATGTCCAGCATATTAGACTTTTGGCGTAGGAATGTGCTCAATACCCGAGCTTGGTCGAGAAGGCTGTTCTGTGAAGCTGCACTGAGAATGACCGGGTATAACATACTAGTGTTCTTGACATATGAGTTGTGTTTCTCAGCAAGGTCATTTTTTGGAAGTTCACAGCACAGAAGAGCACAGTTGGACCCAGCCGCTCCGTAACTATTGACGAGAGCCGCGCGAAATGGCACGTTCCATTCAAGAACATTACGGCTGATATCAAGATTGTCTGGTTTCAGATCGGAAATTTTTGAGTTGAGTTGCTGATGATTTGCCTGCGGTGGAATCTTACCATATTTCAACATGGCAAGCACCTTGATTAAGCTAGCAACACCTGCTGCGGTTTCACAGTGACCAATGTTGCCTTTAATGGAACCGACGTGGACTGTATTCGATCTGGAGGGACTCCCGAAGATAGACCTAATGCTTTCCATCTCCAAAGGATCCCCGGCCTGAGTGCCTGTTCCATGAGCTTCAACGTAAGTTATCTGCTCCGGTTGAAGACCCGATCGTTGAATCACCGTTCGATATAATTCTTGCTGTGCAGCTGAATGAGGAACAGTGATAGATGCCGATAATCCGCCTTGATTAGTAGCGATGGCGGGAATGAGGCCCAAGATCTCATCATTGTCGCTTAAGGCCTGCTTTATTGTCTTCAAAACCACAAGGCCCGCACCATCAGAGCGACAATAGCCGTCGGCAAGCTTATCAAATGGCTTGCATTGTCCGGTACGACTCAAGAAACCGGCTTTGCCCAAGTCAAGGAAGTTGTTAATACCGGTTATGATATTGACACCTCCGGCTAGAGCCATCTTGCACTCGCCAGCCTGGATTGCTTTACACGCACGATTGATCGCGACCAATGAGGATGAGCATGCTGTATCAATTACCTCCGATGGTCCACACCACCCGTAATGATGACTCAGCCTACCGCAAAGGAAGGCACGAATGGTACCGGTGGAAGTGTATGCAGTTGGGCCATGCGCGTTGGTATTATCTAGGTATTCCACCAAGCTTGCACCAATGAAACAACCAACATTGTCTCCTGTAGCTTTATCTCCTATTTCGCGACTGTGTTTAGATAGATATCCTGAGCTATCTAGAGCTTCGAAAGATAACTCCAGAAGCATTCGCTATTGAGGATCCATATTAGCCGCCTCTCTAGGGTTGTATCAGAAAGGGAGGCAATTCGGGATGATGGTGACCTGACTTTCTGAATGAGGCTATGAACTTCGGATTTAGTGGCCTGCAGTCGCTTCTTGTGAAATGGTGACATTGGAACACAATCATTCAGCCCAAAAATCACAAATTTATGCCCGATTTGTTTTGATGCACTTAAGTCCTCCGCTACCCCATTGAGAAGCATATACCAATTGCATTTAGATGCAAGGATGGTGGTGACGATCTCTTCTGACAATGAGCCAGAGCGAAGTCGCTCGCCAGAGATATTTGATCTGACCGGGACCTGAAGCTTGGAAGCATCCGGAAGGTTCAAGCTAGGTGTATCATGACAGAGACGACATAGCTCTGCAGCGAGATCCTTGTTCTCTGGATTGTGAACTTTGCCTCTGATATCCATTTTCTGAACTTGAATACCCTGCCCCTGGGCATATACAAATAGTTCTTCCAGCCTCTTTGCAGGACCGACAATGCTAATAGATCTTGGATCTGTGATAGCTGACACATGTGTCTAAATGTAAAGTTAGTTCAATGCTTTCGTAATGAGATTTCATTGGATACATACTTCAAGGAAAAGGCGTGTGAGATCATCTCCTTGACCCTCGTACTTGAGTCTAAGAGCCAAAGTTGTTGAGCCTGCTCCACGAGTGTCGTCAGCTGCTTCGCCGTAAGCACCAACTCCTAAAAGTACTAGATCCATGGTTTCCGAATCATCCGAAACACTCCACGCTTTTGTGGGCTAGTAGTAAAGTGGATCAACCTTAAAATAGTTCTACCTACACAATACAATTTTTCTTCCAAGATTTCTATCAATACACCATACAACCACAGAATTTTTCCTTGCGTCAAGCAGAATTCTATTTTTAGGGTTTTGGCCAAATGATTTAAATCGGCCTCGGTCCTTGTGTTGCGACGCGCTTATGCGCAACGCGGGGGATTGATGTATTTATCCGTCTGACCATTCACTCGAGGGTAAGACGGGAATCTCTATCCCCATATCCCAACAAGAACTTCAAGATAATCATTCTGATGAATCCGATATTAGATTTTTTTTTTCAATTTCCTCCTATGATGAGCCCTTGATATTGCGCTATTTTAATGGAGGGCTTTTATGGCTCAATTCATAGACGACTACCTGGTTGAGTAGGAACCTTGGCGGAAGAGGTACGAAAGTGGACTCCCATACCTACTTTCCGCTTATCCTGAACTTCTTATTCTTCCAATCACATGTCTCAATTGTGGTATACTTAACTTCACAATAACCCGATATGAGTGTAAACTATCTGAGTTTGATGGAGTGGTACGATACAAGTTGAATAGTCTTTTCTGTCAACATACCGGAATTCAAACGTTTCTTCCACTGAACTCATCAATCCACCACAATCACTATGGCATATCATGCGGACATCTTTTTTCAAAACGGTTTGAGATGATAATGATGAGATTATTTATATTATCTGATTAATGGATTCGTAGAAGCAAATCAAGTGATTATGTACTCCATGTATTATGTAATCATATATCTTTACAAGCAGGCTATTTTTATATTTGTAGATTCATAAAACCCTTTCTGATTGGTCATAAGTAATACGCGAAACTTTTAATTAATTGAACTTAGTTTTTTTTTAGCCGAGAGGGAGGAAAAAGCTTACAAAATCAAGAGGCAAAGCTTAGATAGCCTACGAAATCATTTCAATCTGTTAGATAACTCAAAATGAAAAGCAAATTCGATTAGCAAAGAAGTAATTAGATTAAAGCAATTGAAAGCTTTCCAATGTTATGTTCTCATTAGTTTTAGGGTAGGCTCTATAATAGTAGTAAAATCAATTAATTGAATTAGAAAGATTAATGAAGGTGTATTTGAAGGTGCATTTGTAAGCAGGGACATAAATGCCTGAGGCACAATTGCCTTGGACGTTTTCCGATCCTAGAATCTGAATTAGAATCTGAATTAGAATCTGAATTAGAATCTGAATTAGAATCTGAATTAGAATCTGAATTAGAATCTGAATTAGAATCTGAATTAGAATCTGAATTAGAATCTACATGTAAGAATTTAAAAAAAGAAATTACTATTCTACTATTCTACTATTCTATTGTTTTATATTAGAATTAATTCACTTTACCACTAACCTATAAAAGTATAAAGTATTCCGAATATATTTAGAATAATAGATTTATTATATGAGCCCTATCAAATAATCACTCTCTAATATTCATCCTTATTTTATACAAATCTACCCAATATATATTAATCAAAAAAGAATGAATTAATATTTTTATAAATATAGATCTATAAATATAAAAACTAGAAATATAATAATTATAATTAAATCAATTATCAAAATTGAATTCAAAATATAATTATTTTTATTCAAATTTGTTTAGTAAATAAAAAACTTAAAATAAAATATTCTTATATTTAAAATAAAATATTAGAATTAATTTACTTTATTATTAATCTACAAAAATATAGAATACTCTAAATATATTCAGAACAATGAAATTACTATATAAACCCTATCAGATGATTATTCTCTAACATTTTATAAAGGAAAGAATTAAAGATTGAAAAGAATAATAAGAATAGATTTTTACTATAATTTACTTTAGTTTAAAATTAGAACTAAAATTAGAATCAGAATTAATAATAAAAAACAGATTTCATAAATATTTAATCTTATAAAAAATTAACAATTAATTTAAATATTTAACTATTAAAAAATATCGTTTTAAAAGAAATTTAATAGAAATAAATATTCTAGAAAGCTTTTTTTGATTTTTAGATTTGAATATATATTACAATAGTTTATTCCTTTTAATTCATTATTAAAATAAGAACTTTTATTTAATTCTATTGTTACTAAAATATAAACTTAAATTCAATTTTGTTATTATTAAATTAAATTAAATCTTATTCTAGATTGAATAATAACATAATATTTTTAATAGATGATAGTAGAGTATTATTTAATCATTTTAAATATTAGATAATAGTTTTTAAGATAGAATTATAGTCTATTAGATGAATAAATCGTTTTGGACAAAAATATCCGGATGACATGCTATAAATCACAACACACTGAAATGATATCGAAGATTGACGTTGATTATCATATTCTACCTCCACGGTTCAAGGAAGGTGAGTAGCTAGAGCTTGCTTCTACCGTCAAAATAAGATATGGAAGACTCGTCTAACTTTCAAATCGCATGGGACAAAAACCCCGATCTCAGTCAAGGTATGAGGCTTTCTCCTTGGAGCCCAGAAACAAGCCCTGAATTTATGGAACGAAATAACATCGAAACATCGATTTTGTCTTTGGATGCTCCCGCTACAAGTATGGGTAGCGATATTAGTTCCATGGCAGCTTTTTGTAGGGAGATGAACGAGTATACTTCGTCCTTATGCAAACAATATCCAAAGAAGTTTGGCTTCTTCGCTACTCTTCCATCCTTGGAGGATTTAAACGTTTGTATCGATGAAATTCGATACCCTCTGAAGGAGCTAAAAGCTGTCTTGAAGGTTAGCTCTTATAATAAGAAGGAATAATATTATTATAAGAATAATAGAAGATCTAGTCAGTTTAAACTGTAGGAATAAATCGAATATATAGAATAAGAATTGAATTAAAGTCAATTTAATAGAGCTAGATTGAATTGAAATGAAATTGCTTTTTTTTTTTTCTAGAATTTCTTTAAAGAATATTCTAGGTTTATATAATTTATAATAAAATTCCAATATATTTCATATTTATAAATAAGATTGATTTAAATTATGTTTTATAAAATTATTTTAAATAATAAAAAAAAAGTATAACCAATCAATTTAACGAGATTTCCTATATACTTTTATCTAATTCTATTTCATTCTATTCTATTATAAATCAATTTGATAAGAAATACTATTATATAATTATATAATAATATGATTTTATAATATAAGATTATATTATATATATATTAATTATCAATATATCTCTTATTTGATAAGATATTAATAAGTGATTTAATAGATTTATTATAAATCCTTACACACCCCCTTAATAGATATACTAAATCAATCTAATTCAGATTGATCTGATTTGTGAATTCGATCAATTTGATTTGAGCTAATGATTTAGTAAGCCCATCAGCTTTCTGTTCATTAATAGATATATAAATTAGATCTAAATCCCCTGATTTAATAATATCCCTAATATAATAGAATCTGATTACTATATACTTGCTTCTTTTGTGAAATATAGGGTTTTTAGTAAGCACTAGCACAGCCTGATTATCTGTATACAGAGAAAATTTATTCTATTTATATAAATTAAGTTCTAATAATAGCTTTTTAATATAAACAGCCTCTTTAACAATTAGGTTTATAATAATGAATTCAGATTTGACTGTAGAAAAGACTACTACTAATTGTAATTTAGATTTCCAACTAATAAACCCATTCCCTAATATAAATACATATCTACTAATGAATTTATATATATTGATCTCCTTTTTATAATCGGTATTACAGAATCCTTAAATATAAAGGTTTTTAATTTTAGTATAATTTGTATTTTTATTTATAGTCCCTTTTAAATATTTCAATATTCTTTTAATAACTTGAATATATTTTACATTAAGATTGAATAAAAAACTAGTTAATCTAAATATTGAAAATATTATATTTAATCTAATTCCAAAAACTAAATATAATAAGGAGCCTATAATTTCTTAATATAATTTAATATTATTATTATTAGCTTTCCCTTTATTATAAATTAGCTTTATTTTCGGGTTTATTGGAGTGGAAATAGGATTGAAATCTAGTATATTAAACCTAACAAGTATCTTTTTAATATATTCTAATTAATATAGTTTTAATATATTACTAATCCTTTTAATTTGAATATCTAGATAGTTCTTTATAGGATCTAAATCTTTTAAATCAAAATGTTCCTTTAGATTATTAATAAATTTATTAATAATTTCTTGATTTGAAATTATTATAATAATATTATTGATATATATACTTAAAATTATATTTTTATTTTTATTAATAAAAATATATTCTTTGGAAATTAGATTTATAAAGCCTAATTTATTTAATATGTTTTTTAGAATATGATATTATATTCTAACCAACTATTTTAGATTGTATAAAGCTTTATTTAGTTTTAAAACTTTATTCTTTAATTTATTAAATCCTTTTAATAGATTTAATAAAAGTAGTATATTGATATTACCTTATATAAACACTAGTATCATATCGATTTTATAAATTAATCAATTATTTTGAAAAACTAATACAAATAAGAGTTTCTATACTATCAATTTAATTATCAATGTATGTATATCAATATAATTTAATCCATATAGCTATTCGAATTCTTTAATAATAAATCTAACTTTGAATTCAATAAATTTATTTGAATCCTTTATTTTATATATTCATTTAATTCTTAAGATTTTATTATTATTAGAATTATCAATAATATTCTAAGTCTTATTGAATTCAAGAATGTTTATTTTGTATTCCATAGCTTTTAATCAATATTCCTTTTTCGAAAAGCTAATAGCTTTTTTATAGATCTTAGGTTTAATCAATATATAATTTGGCTTATTAATAATAATCTTTTTATTATTTTTAAACCTAATATCGAAAGCTAATTAAAGATCTTATTAATCTATTTCGATATTTATTCTTTTATTAATTGAATTAAAATACCTGGAAAAAGCAAGTTTATAATAGAAAACTATATGTTTTCCATTTTTAGCAAGATCTTTATTATCAGGAATTAGATTTCTTATACACTTAGATTATTATATATTAGATTTTATTACCTCATTGAATATAGGTTCACTAAGAATAGGCTTACCGAGATCGATTTCTATATAATTGAGTATTTCGTTATTTTCGCTGTTTTTATTCATTTCGGGATTAGTTTAATATCTATTAATGTTAGTAATATCTTTATTCTCTATATTATCCTGAATAAATTCAAATTCGAGATTTTCTTTTTTTAATAACTTTAGATCCTGGTTTTTATATTCATTAGAATATATAAAATCTTTTTGAATATCAATATCTCTTAAGCTAATTATTCTTTTATTAATCAGAATATAGATCAAATAATTATTAAACAAATCAAAGCCTATTAGTATACCTTTCCAAACTCTAGAATCTAGTTTTCCATTACAAATCTCTTTATTATTAATAATATAAATAAAAGAATCTAGGATTTTAATATAATTTAAATTAGGCTTCTTATTATATATTAATTTGAATAATAAATTATTAATAGAACTATTATATATTCTATTCTTGATATAAACAATGACTTTAACTAGATATAACTATAAATAAAGTAGAATCTCTTTCTCCTTAGTTATATAGATTAGTCTTTCGATTATATATCTATTTAATATCTTAACTATTTTATTTTGAGAATAAGTATACAGGCTAATATATTTGTATATAATCCCATAATTTCGAATAAAATCCGATTATTTATTCGAAAGGAATTCAAGAGTATTATTTAATTTTAGTATTTTAATACTAATATTAAACTAATTTCTAATTAGGTTATAAAACTTTATTAGAATATTATAAACCTGGGATTTGAATTTAATAGAATATATTTAAATAGTTCTAATAGTTCAATTAATAAATACTATAAAGTATTTTTCATCTTTAATCTTTATAATTCTAAAGGATTTAGTTATATCTAAACTGAATTTTTTAAATTTAGAGTTTATTTCAGGGATTTCAAAGGGTTCCTTATTTATTTTCTAATGGAATTTGCCGAATTTGTATGATTTATATATATCTAAATCAGATTTAACTATATCTAATTAGATATTTAAGGATTTAATAATATAATCCTTATTTATATAATCTAATCTTTTATGGATTAGATTAAGATTAATTTTATTCAATAATAAATCCAATTCTTGAATTAATTCCTTTTCTATTTCAGAGATATTAATGTTTTTAAGATATTTAGAATCTATTTTAAAATTAAAATAATATATATCAATTAATCAGAAAGCTATAGTTTGTATATTAGCCTCTTTATAAATAATATCGATCTTGTTTTTCGAGGGAATAATATAATTAGATTATTCTTTTTAAATTATTTTATTCGAATTAATAAGATTAAAAGCTATATTGGGAATATAATATACCCCCTATAACAACACCTCTAATTTATTATTAATTAAAATAGGAATATCTCCTATACCATTAATACAAAGCTTTTTCTTATTAGTTATAATAATAAAATAATTATTTAATAGCTTATAATTTATAAACTATTCCTTATTAAATAAATAATACTTTATAATATCTGAATTTAATATAAATTTATATTTAGATTTAAGGAATTAATTAGTTAAGCCTATATAATAGTTTATAGTTATTAGTTATTTATTAAAGATAAGTTTATTTAAATCTTTTTTTGAATCTTTATTCAAATTTTTATTTGGATTTGATTTAAATTGCTTTTTATTATCCCCTTTATTAGCCTTTAATTCAAGATATTTTATAAAGTATTTTGATTTTAAATATCCCTTTTTAGAGTAATGCTTGTAATAGGGAATTTTATTAAAGCTTATTTTATTAGTATTTAGATTGATATTAGATTGTATTCTAGCCTTTTCGAATATTAGCTTAGAAAAAAGCTTATCCAGATTAATATTAACTATATTTTTAACTAATTCTTTATATTTTCGAGAGGTAAAATTATTAAAAGAGTTAGGTAGGCCTTTAAAAAGAAATTATATTATAAAAATGTCTGGAATATCGAATTTTATTGATTTTAGATAATTATATAATAATTAAATCGAATTAGTATAGTTGTTTATTCCTTTTGAGCTAATATAATTAGATTCTATTAGCTTATTTAGATATCTTTTTATTAATTCAATAAAAAACTCTTCAAACATCTTATTAATAAAATCCTATAGACTTTTAGCTGTAATTTTAATTTCGAATCTTTTAATTAATTCAAAGCTAATTATAGATTTAATAGCTTTTAATACCTTTTTTTTATTTTTTTGATATTCTGAAAGCCTTTTATTATATTTTATAGTTAATTCAATTAAAATAGGTTTTCCTGATTTATTTATATATAGACTTTTATTAGGTGGAATTTTAGTATTGTTGATATATAATATAAAGCTATTTATTTTAAGAAAAAGCTTAGTTCGGTTAATCCATTTGATATAATTAGATCTATCTTTTAGAGGATTAGATTTAAAATTGATATTAGAAGTTATTTTAAATTCTTTATAAACTAATTAATTTTATATTGGTTAAATATTAATTTAAATATATAGCTAGTTTCGGATTTGAATAAATTAAATAAATAAATCGATTTAAAATCGATTTTAATTTTGAGGATTGAATAAACCAGCTATTTTTTAAATTAAATCTTTATTTTAATTGATATAAAATAAAAACTAAATAAGCTAAAGCATTTTGGTATAAAGAAGATTAATATATTACCCGCTATAGGTAGCAATATAGTATAAATATATTATCTAGAAACCTAATTTTATACACTCAATTAGATTTAGCTTCAGGGATGCAGGCTTCAGGGTCTATATGTAGTGGTTTTTGATATGAATTTGATTAAATTGATTCGAAAAATTCGATATTCGACAGCTCAATAGCGGTATATATATGATATACAGTCTTAAATCAAGCTAATTCCCTTTTTGAACTAATTTAGACTAGCCGGGCTTATAACCTTTTGGAGGTTAGCTTTTATAATAAGAAGGAATAATATTATTATAAGAATAATGGAAGATCTAGTCAGTTTAAGCTATAGGGATAAATCGAATATATAGAATAAAAGTTGAATTAAAATCAATTTGATAGAGCTAGGCTGAATTGAGATGAAATTGCTTTCTTTTTCCTAGAATTCCTTTAAAGAATATTCTAGGTTTATATAGTTTATAATGAAATTCCAGTATATTCTATGCTTATAAACAAGATCGATTTAAATCATATCTTATAAAATCACTTTAGATAATGAAAAGAAAGTACAACCAATCAATTTAGCGAGATTTCCTGTATACTTCCATCTAGTTCCATTTTATTCTATTCCATTATAAATCAATTTGATAAGAGATACTATTATATAACTATATGATAATATGATTTTATAATATAAGATCATATCATATATGTATTAGTCATCAATATATCCCTTATTTGATAAGATATTAGTAAGTGATTTAGTGGACTTATTATGAATCCTCACAAGCTGTAGGAGTAAATTCTCTGACCAGTTATGGAGGCAAGTACCTTGGTCATCCGGACTTTCGACCTGTATGGAATGAGTTGAATCAACTCGGGGCAATTGTCTTCATTCATCTAGGGCTCGAGACGGCTGGAAAGCCTATCGTCGAGCCGCGATAATTGCTGAAGCCTATCTTCGACTGGACACATGAGACAACGCGGACAGCGGCCCACCTCATCATGACAGATACACTACGAACACATCCAAATTGTCGAGTTATTCTTCCACATGGCGGAGGCACGTTACCCTATATCGTTCACAGAAACGCAAATCTAAGCGCAGAATTCAATCTCATAGATAAGACCGCCGACGAGTTCCTCAAGAAGGCTAAGAATTTCTATTTTGATCTCGCCTTTGCAGGATATGATGAGCCGCTACGTTTATTTCTTGACTTCGCAGAACCTGGGCATGTACTATACGGTACCGATTACCCGTTTGGACGAGAGGATTTGGTGGCAACCCAGTCTACGCAAATTGACAATGTATTACAGGGACGAAAGGATGAGAAGCTTGTCTATCGAGATGCTGCATTAAAACTCTGGACCAAATTTGATGTATCTCCGCATTTGCAGCATGAAATGAGTTAAGACAACGCCGTATGGAATGACGAATAGAAGCAAAGAACTAGTTGTCACCATTCTCAATCCATGCACCTGTTAGTAGAGATAAGTGGTTCAATGCAACATGATGTAGACAACTCTTGAAGATGAGTTATCAAGAATAAAAATTGAAGCGAAAAGGGGAACTTTCCCCTGCCAATGATGAGATCAGAGGTCAGCCAATATTCCATATGCAGGCTGTGAGGTCCAGGACCCTAGTTTCTATATATGTGCGAGTTTTGTTGGATGTGAATCTCGGTAAAACAACAATTACTAAAGTCATATGACATTATTGTTTTCACACGTCTTTTAAAAAAAGTACAAAATGGAAATACTTTCTCTCTTCAACTTAATCTTTACACACGTTTCTAGGGTCCTATTCTGTATTCCGAGATGCATCTCTTCACAATTCTTTTCTGCATTGTTCTATTTCTGGGCAGGGGTTATGCCACCAATAACGTCCTTCCCAAACAGATTTTCGAATTCTCTAATGATACCTTCGTTGAAAATATTCATGCTCGCGACGATGGGCTCCTCCTCCTTAGTACCTTCAGTTCTGGGGACCTTATGATTATCGATCCCACGGCTGCGACACCTACGCGATCATCACGACGGCGCAAGTGATAATTCCATGCGCACGAGACTCATGGCTGGGCAGCTGGCTTGTAATCATAGTGTTTGATGATCAGTGATTGAAGAAGATGGATTTGAAATAGATGGATCTGCAATAACTACGCAGGTCACGGCAGGTGGAGAGCATGAAACAAGATGGTTGTGGGGAACTTGGCCTTCAACGCTGACATAACTTGCTTTCTGGGAGCCTGTCTTTATTGCATGTTTCTTGGTGGATAGTATTAGACCAGAGGAGAACAATTTAGCCGAGAAGGAAGCTACGAGAGGGAAATGCATGATGTGCCATACAATTGCAGATGTGGTGGAGTAAACTAGGTGCTAGAGTTTGAGGCGGGTATCACTTACAGGCATTGATTCGCGCCAAAAAGGCTTGATTCCATAATAGCTGCTAGAACTTTGTGGAGGGCATTGTTCACAAGCATGCTTGCCTTTCTTTGTCGAAGAACAAACCAAGTGACTACCAACTCATGTTTTGGATGATGATTTGTGTTTATCCTTGACAGGGAATGTAAGTCAACTGCAATAACCCATTGCTGATTATACCTTCTGTCACGATGTATCTCTTTTACTATTGTTATTAGAATCCACCTATTCTGAGACAAACACGGAGATCTTTCTTCAATCAACTTCCGTATCTTGCTAACTCGCATTGATTTTCTATTGGTACGCATATTCTCAGATACATATCGCATATTAATGAAGTTGTATCGTGATTCTTAGTCCACTGAGCCCAAGCCGCTAGCTAAGGTATGGGTGAATTTCTTTAGACACATATCAGATATTGGAGGGGTCATTCATCCATAATGTTGGTGGCTTAATTTTAATCATCAGTCAGGAATTGTGGCTTAATAGTAATCTTCCAAATCACTGAGCCCCAGTTGCTAGTTAATGCATGGGCGCACTTCTTTAATCCTGTGACAACAACATGGATAGGTAAGGTTACAGTGCCGCACTATCTTGCAAGTCTAGAACTCTCAAAAATGACTTTGACGCTAACTTTGAATGCAGATGTATTAGCTACATATCAGAAAAGGATCATATTCATTAGAAATGTAGCACAGCAGAATGAGCAAAGATAGGAGCCTACAAGAAACTAAAACGATAGCGTACTATTTTTGTGATCCAGGCCTTTTTCAAAAATTGATGGTGTGATGTAAGTCCTCAAGTAATAATTACTTGTTAAACTTGTGCTTACTGGAAGGAAAAACTTCTTCTACTGGGAACAGTCTTATCAGTGCTGCATGTCAGTCTGGATACTACACAGCGGCCGCATTCGTACAAACGTCCGTTGATGAGGGATGAGCATTTATAGAATAGACGTTTATGTCGTCAAATCTAGAAACGTACGGAGATAAAGACACTACACCCAATTTCATAACTAGCTTCCAAAACCTTAAATTTTAGTCCTTACATTATTTAACCTTAATACAACTTATAATTAATTTATTTTATAAATAACTTTACAATACTATATTCAATATAAATAGTATTTATATCAAATCAAAGCTATAAATTAATACTATAAACTAATATAAAAATTAATCTTTATTATAACTCTCTAATTTTATTTAAATAATATTAATAGAATTGAGTATATATTAAAATATTGAAAAAGATTTATTATTCTAAATTATTATGAAATATTTATAATGATTTATAAAACGATTATTAGAATAATTAGATATTATTTGAATTAAATTAGAAAAAGGAAATCTATTAAGAAATATACTAATGAATTTATTAATGTTATTATATTTGAAATAAATAAGATAATAAAAGAGGTTTATAATAAATTACTATAATTATATTAAGATGAAATTATAGACTTTTTTTAAAAAATATTTAATATAAAGATTAGTTGGTTAATGATTTATAGAATTATTAAAAGAATAGATTTTATATAAAAGTAATTAATAGTAAAGGTAGTATAAAGGAATAGGGAGTTAAAAAATGATTAAATAAATAAAATATAATTCTTTTAATAGAATTAGATTATTTGTATTAATAAATTTGATAGTAATAAATGTATTAGGGATTGTAAGTATGGATATAATAAAAGGGAATTAAAGTAAAGATATAGAAATAATTGTAAGATTATATAAAAGTTTTAGTATTATTGATATATATAATTAAGGAGTATATTATATCAATTATCTTTTTTCGCTTATCTTCATATTACTTTTTTTTAATTTTCTTATTAAACAATATTCTATTTTTTTTGTAATTTTATATTCTAAATCCAAGATCTATTCATTTTATTGAATAATATATCTATATATTATGTTTTTGTAAATAAAATAAGGAAACAATAATAAAATATAATATTCTAATTCGCTATTTCCTATTATTATTTTTTCGATTTATATTTTATTGAATCAACTTGGAGATTTGAAGAGCTTAATTTGTTGTTGTTATTGTATTAAATATTCAAAACTGTATTTATTAATAACTTTTTGAATAGATAATTAGAGAAATTATACAGGCATAAAAATAGTTACAAGGGTAAAGGTTATATTTCTGAATTATAGAATATATCTATAATATTTTTTTATATTTAAAGTT